GGCCAGGCCCAGCTACTGCAGGCGTGCAGGGAGGGAATCAGTGGACGGGAATATGCGCTCTCTCTCAAAAGAGAAAAAAAAAAAAAAAAGAAAACCAACATTACTTAACTGTCACACTGAGCTTTTTAGGGATACTCGGCCCAGGGAAGGCATCGCCTCTGGACAGAGGTGGACAGGCACCAGGCAGGTGCCCCATGCAGCCGATGCTGTCCCGAGGGACCGGCCGTCCTGTCTCTGAGGGCAGTCTCGGCCTCCTGAGCCCACGACGTCCTCTCTGACTGTGCTCGCCACAGAACTGCTCTGACGCCAGGTGAATGGTGGGTTTTCATTGGCCACGCGTTCAGGGAAATGGTATTTCCTTTTCTAAACAGTCCCCAAGAGGGGGGAGCAGGCACTGCAGCACAGGGGCTGGGCTGCCTCTTGGGACACCCTCATCCACATCACAGTGCCAGTCTGGGTCCCGGTTGCTCTGCTTCTGATCTGGCTCCCTGCTAACACGCCTGGGAAGCAGTGGACGATGGCTCCAAGCGCTTGGTCTCCTGTCACCCGCGTGGAGACTCCTGTGAGCTTCCTGACTCCTGTCTCCAGCCCAGCCCAGCCCAGCCCCATCTATTGCAGCCGTTTGGGGAGTGAACCAGCAGGTGGAGGATCAATCTTTCTCTCTGCCACTGTGCCTTGCAAACGAACAAATAAATCTTAACAAAAGAGAAAAAGAGAGAGAGAGAGAGGGAGGGAGGGAGGGAAAGGGAGAGGGAGAGAGGGAGAGAGGGAGGGAGGGAGGGAGGGAGGGAGGGAGGGAGAGGGAGAGAGGGAGGGAGGGAGGGAGGGAGAGAGAGAAGGAAGGAGGGAGAGAGAGAGAGAGGGAGGGAGAGGGAGGGAGGGAGGAGACGAACATGCCAGTAAAACAAAATTCAGTCAAGACGACAGCTTCTTCAGCAATGAACACAACACAAAAAAGCGCCACCTTTATAAATCTCATCAAATCACTCAAAACTGACTGACCAAGTGGCTCCTGTGTGACAGGTGGCAGCCACGGCACTAGAGACACAGCAACGGCCGAGGTAGCAATGGTACTGCTGGGGCCCAGAGGACGGGCACTGGGGCCGGGCAGCAAATGCTAACCCCCGGGGCATCAGTTCTGTGTGTGCCTCGGGGCCTCCGTCTGCACAGGGGCACGCGGAGCATCCGTGGGACGATGCAGGCACCCGCGACTCAGCCACGCAGTCCCTGACGGCAAAGATCACCAGTCTGCGATGGCTGGGGGTGCACACGGTAAATGCAAAATAAGTGATGAACTCTTCCCACCAGAGGTACGTGAGGGAGAGGGACCTGGGGATTATTCGATTACTCAGTAATTTGAGAATTCAATTATTCAACGGCTTGAGGATAAAAGGATGCAAAGTCCAATGAAAATGGCACTGGGTGTGCGGCTCTCCAAGCCGGCCCCTCAAGAAGCAGTGAAATCCCGTGCAGCAAGGCCGGCAGTGGTGCGGGGATGGGGTCCTACTCCGTGCCCCCTCCAACTTCCCAGAGAACCGACCGTTTCTCCGCACGCCCAGAGAGCCGTGCTAGCTTCCTCTGACACCTGGCCCAGAGACGCCGGGAGAGCACGCACGCTCCCCTATCCGGCGTGACGCAGGGAAGGAGCCCTGGCATGGAGCTCGAGGGGGCCCGGCTTCACCACTTCTCCAGAAGCAGCTCTGGGGTGGGATGTGGGAGGCGTCACGTGATCAAGCCACTCTACCGGCCCCACCAGGACGACTGGCTGACACAAAACCCTCCCCTCCCGGACAGAGCCAGATCGGCACTGAGCGAGCCCAAGTGTGCGGGTGCCTCGTGCAAAACCTCCAGTGAACGGGGACAGCAAAACGCGCCGGCGGGCTCCTGACTTCAGGAGCTGCCCTTGCCCCAGCTTGGGGGCAGAGCTCGGCAGTCTGTCCCAGCACAGGCACAGCACGGCCGAGGCGCTCCAGGCACTCGGGAAGAAATGCCTGGAAAGCGATCCTCAGCTTCTCGTGCCGGGCTTGCTCGTGCTGGGCGGCAGTACGGAGTGCGCAGGCGGGCCGGCGGCTGCACCGAGGGGGCGACATCCTTGAGGGCAATGCTTTCTCTCCGTCTCTCAAGCACCACGACGAATTCTTGTTTGTCACGTTTTATACGCAAACAGTTTTACAATCCACGATGAACTCTAGACAGAGGACCAGAGGCTTGAACTGGTGGGAAGAAGCTTGCTTGCTTGTTTATAAAAATTTATTATTTGAAAGGCAGAGAAGTGGAGGTGGGGTGAGAGAAAGAGATGAGAAGGTGGGGGGAGGAGAGTCTTCCATCCACTAATTCACTCCCCAAATGCCCACACCAGCTGGGGCTGGGCCAGGCCAAAGCCAGGAACAAAGCCCCATGGGTGGGAGGAACCCAAGAACTTGGGCAGTCGTCCACTGCTCTCAGGTGCCTGAGCAGGAAGCTGGATTGGAAACAGAGCTGGAACTCAATTCTAGGCCCTCCAATAAGGGCCACAGGCCTCCTAAGCAAAGGCTTAACCAGCTGCGTCACAATGTCCACCTTCACATATTTTGTCAAAACTTTTATATTTATTATTTTATTTTATAGAGGCATAAAGACACACACACACACACTGAGAGGAAGAGAAAGCAAGCTCCCATTCTCTGATTCACTTCCCAAAAGCTGGCGATAGCTGGGACCAGGTAGGCTAGGTTGGCCGAGCTGGGTTGGGCTGAAGCCAGGGGCAGGGCCTGGGAACTCAATCCAGATCTTCCACGTGGGGGCCAGGGACCCACCTCCCTGAACCATCACCACTGCCTCCCAGGGTCCACAGCAGCAGGAAGCTGGAGTTGGGAGTCAGGAGACCTGGACCCCAAGCACTATGACGTTGGACATGGCATTTTAACCGGAGTCTTAACTGCTAGGCCAAAGGCATGTTCCAGTGTACGCATTTTTTATGCTGGGCTTGGATGAAAAGAAGAAGAAGCCACAGAAAAGCCCACTATCCCCAGTTAAAGAAATCAGCAGCCAATCATGAATGCTTAGCAAAATGAAACTTCAGAATCTGTAATTAAAAATAAATCATGCATGGAGTCGAGCAGTCGGACCCCGACTCCCATGTGGAAGACCGGAGTGGAGTGCACAGCCCTGGCTTTGACCTGGCCCAGCCCTGGCTGCTGCGAGCATTTGGGGAGTGAGTGGGAGCCGCCTGTCTGTCTCTCTGTCTCTCTGTCTCTCCCTCTGAAGCACCATCCCTGGTTGGGAGGGAAAAGCCTCACGGCTGTCCCGCTGAGCCACGTGGAAACATCTGTATTCCAGCAGGAGTGAGAAAGAGGAAAAAGCTTTACCTTGCAGGTGAACTTGTCACCCAAAGTCTTTTCTAAAAAGAGCTGAGGGCAGAGTGATGCAGGAGCAAGCCCTCGGAACACAGTGCGGGGCGGGCGTCCCCCTCTGTGTTCCTTCTCCTCTTTGCACGGTCAGTGCATGAGACAAGCAAAGCCACAGGTAAAAGCTGCAAAGATGGAAACGTCTGCTCTCGAGGCGCCATCGCTGGGCCTGGCAGTGCGGCCCGGGAAGCTCTCTCGCCACCGGGCTCAACCCCAGCGCTGGGATTAGGGCACAGGACGGACGCCCCGCTGACCGAGACGGCGAAGCAGGTGACTCTAACCTTTTCCTCCAGAAGTCTCTTCAATAGCTACGATAACTCGGGAACACTGTTCCCAGGTGACATGGAAATCTGTTAAGTTCAACAGAAGCAGGCATTGAGCCTGGAGTTGGGACGCCCGGGCCCCACGGCGGAGAGGCTGGGTTCAGTTCCTGGCTCCAGCCTCCTGCTGATACAGACCCTGGCAGGCAGCTGGGCGGCTCAGTGGTGGCTCCTGCCACCCATGCAGGAGACTCGGATTGAGTTCCCCGTTCCTGGCTTTGGCCTTGGTTGTTGCGGGCATTCAGGGGAATGAAGCAGTGGACGGGAGCTTGCTGTCCATCTGTCTGTCTCTCTGCCTCTAAAATACATTTTTAAAAATATAGGGGCCAGCACTGTGGCATAGTAGGTAGAGCCACTGCCTGCAGTGCCAGCATCCCATATGGGCGCCAGTTCGAGTCCCAGCTGCTCCACTTCTGATCCAGCTCTCTGCTGTGGCCTGGGAAAGCAGTAGCATATGGCCCAAGTGCTTGGGTCTTTGCACCCACGTGGGAGACCTGGAGGAAACTCCTGGCTTCGGCCTGGCCAGTCTCAGCCATTTGTGGCCATTTGGGGAGTGAACCAGCGGATGGCAGATCTAACTCTGCCTTTCAAATAAATAAATAAATCTTTAAAAAAAGAAAAAAGAAAACTCACAATGGGAAGCCATAACATAAGCAACAAGGAAGTGTGGCCAAGTTCTGCTTCTCCCTGCTGGCAGAGGAATATATTTCTTGAGATTAAATACCAAATTGTTTCCCAAGACACCTCGTGGAGCTCCTGATTTGCCAGTGTCCTAAGTGTGTGCTTAATCTGCTCCTGGTGAGATCCTGGTGGCAGCTGGACCAAAGAGCGGGTCGTCTGGAGTATTTTCAAATACCTTTCAAATTACCTCCCCGAAAAGTATCAGGAGGGAAAGGCAGCTCCCCCGTCACCCCAAACAGGTCACGAGCAAGAGCAAACACAGGGGCGAGTGCTGTGGCACAGCGGGTGAAGCCACCACCTGCTAAGCCGCTGGCATCCCACAGGATGACAGTTCAAGTCCCGTTAGCTCCACTTCCGATCCAGCTCCCTGCTGATGCCCCTGGGAAAGCAGCAAAAGATGGCCCAAGTGCGTGAGCCCGGGACATCCCCGAGGGGGACCAGGGCAGAGTTCCAGCCACGGCAGCCACTTGGGGAGTGGACCAGTGGAAGGAGCGCTCTCTCCCATCAGTCTCAAGTGAACGCGGAGGCACTGGCGAGAGCTTCCGCAGACCTCGACCCGTTCGCCCTTCCCCCTCTGGGAACACCCAAGCCAGGCCTCCTCTCAAACGCATACCTGAGTCATTCACGCTGCTGTTCCTCTTGGCGTAGGCGCTGCGGACCACTTGCTCGTACACCTGGGCCCCGATCGTCCTGACGTTGTCTCGCAGCAGGATGCCTTGCGCTTGCATCATGAAGAGGTAGGTGTTCACTGCGGACGACAGCGGGCGGGGCACAGAGGTGAGGCCAGCGGCAGCCCGGAGGGGGCCTCGCCCGTCCTCTGTCCTCACCTTCGAGACCCATTTCAGCTCTAACGCCACGAGAGCCTAGCTCTCCTCCAAACTGCATCCCAACATTCCGTGCTTCCTGGGCAGCTGGCAGGGCTCCAGGAAACACCTGCCAACACTGAGCAGTCTTAGAAAAACCATGAACTTAGGGAAGCACACTCCCCCTCGGCTCTGAACGCCAGCACTGTGGAGAACACAAAGCCTTCTGACTCAATTAAAACGTTTCCTGAAAGCTCGCTGCCCTCTTCCCTTTCACTTCCCGATCCCTCATGGCCACACAGAGAGACAGGAGAGGCCTGACTGCCAGGGCCACTCGCGGCCGGGTCTGCTCTTGGCAACCACGCGGAAGCGCCAGGCAGAGGCTACCACCACCGTCCTCAGGGAGATTTGGAGCAAAGGAGATAAGGAAGGAACGCCGGCAGTTCTCACGACCACCCAGCCCCGGCGGCCACAGCAAGGGGGTGGGCGCAGGCGGCTCAGCGCCCCTGGCTGTTAAAAGACACTCTCAACAACACAAGTTTTCAGAACCACCAGGCCACGTCGGTCATCTTGGGGGAGTGGTCCCTGAAGTCCCCACGACACAAGACTAAGGGATCACACCCCGCCGACCAGCCTCACTCATTCCTCTCCCTGCTCATACACTATGCCACCTGTTTTCATGAACTTGGACGGCTTAACACAGTCCCAGCCAGCCGGTGACCATCCGCCGTGGTGCCGAAGACTCGGCCCTTACAGGGGGAAAGATGCGCTCATCTGAGCTCCAAGCACCTGGCAGTGGAATCAGCGGAACGCCTGGCTGACCTCTGACCTGGCCCCAGGCAGTACAACTCCACACTCAGGCGGGGCCTCGGGCCGGCCGTTCTACAACCACAGTGCCCTGCCCAGGACGGCACCAAGTGGTGACCGCACGGATGGAGCGTGGAAGTCAGTTTACTTTACACCAGGCTGTCGTGTCTGGTGCTTCTTCAGATACCGGCACTGGGTGTGGCGCTGGGGACAGACAAGGTCGCCAACCCCAGGTGGTCAGCATTCAACAGGGACACGGAATCTTTCAATCATCTCTGGGGCTTATATCATCACAGGCCACAAACAGATAAGCAAAAGAAGTCAACGTCTGGAATGCTTCCAGAAATGAGACACAGAACAGGTCAGGATGGTTGACCCTGTAGCTGGACAAAGTTGCTAAGGAAAAAAGATAGGTTCCAGTGCCCGGGGAGGTGTCGCTCTGCAAAGCCCGTGAACAGGAGAGTATGTGATCTTCTACTTCCGGCACACGGCGCAGTGCCGGCTCACAGGAGGCAGGCGGGTCAGAAGCACCTGCTGGACGAAGACTCAACCCTCACCTAATCTCAAGTTGCTTGGTTGGCTCCATGGCGTCATTATCCTTGAGGCTATACAACATGTCCCCACTGCCCGGTATTTTCTTTTCTCTCTAGCAGCCCACGGAACCAGCTGTCTTCCATAAACATAAGAACAAAGACGTCCTAGGCGCTGTGTGCACAGCTTCCAGTTAATTATGGCAAAGAATCCACCACCCCCTTTCTTCCGCGCTGCGAAGCACACAGCTGCCCCGTCCCCGCTTTAAATAGCTTCCTCTTCCCGTGTGGGAATCCCAGTGGAAGCCCAATCCAGAGGATTCCTGGGCCAAGCGTTCTCCCCACCCCGAGGATCAGGACCGTGGTGCTGCCTGCCTGAGGCACAGTGAGGGTGTGGGTCTGCGCCGTAACAAGCTCACAGGGGACCCCAAGGACCACACTGTGGAAACCACGGATCCAGCCATGCAGTGAGAGTAGTAAGCAACGTTCACTGGTACTAAACTGCGTGATTCTGTATCTCACTTAATCCTCATAATTACCTTCCGATCACACACTATTCTCTAATCCGCAGTGACAGGCAGGTTTCAGGTTCCCCAGCGCCTTCACCGAGGTCTGACCCAGGTAGGTGCCCCCGTGCTCTCTCCCGGGTCGGGGACCCCTGCTCGACACCTCGCTGCCACGCCTCTCCCTCAGTTCCCCAGCACCCACAGGACCTGAATGATCACTCCAAGGAGGCAGCTCTCAGATCTTTCTCTGCCGCACAGAGCTGGCCAGACGCATCGTTCCTAATTACAGATGTAGGCACCCTGCCTCTGCCTTCGTCCCGGGGCGCTACCGGCCTGCAGCGGGTCCCTGCTTCGCCACACTCTCCCCAGGGAGGACCACGCTGGTCTCCCTCCAAGCCCCGTGACTCTCGTTCCTGTCCTGTCTTGGTTTGCCAACACCGTCTGCTGTGTCAGTCCTGTCACTCGACTAACACGTTCACGCAGGCCACATACTCCGAATGCTTTTCTAATCGCCCACAGAGACGAACACAATGCTGAAGACATAACAGAGGGGAGCAAACACTGCCCGACGCAGGGAAAGGGCACAAATGGGCAGACTCAGGACCGCACGGCGTGTGAGAGCGCACTCCAGCATCACCCAGTGCGTCCAGAAACCCTGACCGCCGGAACACAGCCACCCGCAAAGAAAACTCTACCTTGGTGGGAGGGGTCCAACACGTCCCCTAGTCACTGGGACGCGCTGGTCCTCATTCGGCCCCCTCCCCCCACTCCTGGGCGTGCCTCCCCGCCCCACTCCTCTCTCGCGCGGGGCTCGCTATCTACACTTGCCAGAGCCACACTGGCGCCCAGGCGGACAGAGTGGTGCAGGTGCGAGCTGGGGCGGAGCCCAGACGCAAGCCGTGGCAGCCCTGATCCATCTGTTAACCGAAGAGCTCTAACTCAAGGCCCAGAAAGTTCCAGAATGGAGAGGCTCCGCTATCTAACCCGCCACTTCTCAAGCCAGCGCTCTGTGCTGGCCCCTCCCCCACCCCACCCCATGACCAGTCCATCAACTGGTTCTCTGCAGAAACTCAATCTGGGAAATTATGTTCTGGCCCTTCCAGGAATGGACTTTCAAACTTTTATTACCTGCTTGGGTAATCAACTGATGATTGCTGGCAAACAGCAATAACATCATATTATTCATTCCTATCAAGCTTGCTGGAGGCAGATCTCCTGAATCCTATTCGAGCTGCTGCCACTAAGCCCCCGGCTCTGTGCTCACACAGCTGGTTCTGCAGATCCCGCAGCAAGATCCCAAGTGCCCCGGCTGAAACTTGTCACTGACCGGAGCCCGAGGTTGGGCCGAAACCAGGAAGTGTGTATGTACACACGCTGGGTGGACTGCGTAGGGCACCCACACCCTCCCGAGTGCCTGGATACCAGTCCTGGCCCTGCTTCCAAGTCCAGCTTCCTGCTAACGTGCATCCAGGCAGGCAACAGTGATGGCTCAAGTAGTTGGGTCCCCATCACCCACGTGGGAGACGCAGACCGAGTTTCCCACTCGTGGCTTCGGCATGGCCCACCCCCAGCTCCTACAGGCATTCGAGAAGTAAACCAGAGGATGGAAGTTTTCTGTCCTTAAAGTCAACGACACAATTTTACAGGCATACACGTGCTCCTTTAATCTGTCTCCTGTCCTGTCTGCCCCCCGTCAAGTGGACGCCAACTTTCTACGGGACTTAAGGAGGTCAGGGAGTCTGCCCAGGCCAAACCTGGGAGTGAAGGAGCGGGGTGTCCACAGCGTGCTGGTGAGCCCCATCCTAAAACCTCAGAGAAGCCGTACTTCCCACCACCACCGTCCTGATCGACAGCGGCTGAACTGCACTTTGACAGCGTCCATTCCAATGTGGCGCACGACTGTTGAAGAATTATTTATTCACTTGAAAGGCAGAGTTACAGAGAGAAGGAGAGACAGAGACAGAGAGAGGTCACCCATCCACTGGTCCACTCCCCAAATGGCCACAACAACTGGCCAGGAGCTTCCTCTGGGGCTCCCACGTGGGTGCAGGCGCCCAGGGACTTGGGCCATCCTCCACTGCTCTCCCAGGCACAGTAACAGGGAGCCGGGCTGGAAGTGGAGCAGCTGCGACTGGATCCAGCACCCGCAGGGGATGCCGGTGCTGCAGGTGCCGGCCCCGGCCACTGTGTCAACACAGGTCTGTTTAACGCCCACTTCGCGGCATGCAGCCCAGGCCGGGGACGTGTAAGACAGCTCAGAGTGTGGCAGACACACGACTGCACAGGAGTTCACGGTGTAGCGCGAGACACGCTGAGCATCACCCAGCCCGAATCCAGGCTGGGACTTTTCTCACTCCGTGAGACCGTGTGATGGTTATGCAGCCCAGCTCCTCGGCCCAGGGACCTGTGGTGGCCGTAACTCCTTTGAGGAAAACCAGCCTCGTGTAGATTCACAGCTTCGGAAATTTCCACCCGGACCCAGCGTGGGTAGCCCAGGGCCGTGGCTTTCACTGAGGGTCCCTGCTCAGCGGTTTCTTCCTCTCTGTCCCCCACTCCAGCAGGGCCAGGCTGTCCTCCCTCCACAGGAATTCTGTTCAGCCCCCGTGTCCCCGTGAGTAGGTGACCAGGTTCTCTCATTAATAATGATCGTGGCCATAAAAACTCCCCACAGGGCACTGAAGTCTGACTTCCCAGAGGAGATTCTGATGCGACGAACCCCAGAGGGGGAAGGGCGCCTGCTTCCACCTGCTGGGGACGGGCTCAGGGCTCTCCGCCACGGGGCCTGGGAAGCCGAGGAGACACAAGCAGGAGAGAGCCGGTCCCCTCCAGGGACCCCTCCCGGCCACTCCTGACCGACTGCCCATACACGCACAGATCCGCCCTGCCCTGCCTCACTGCTGTATTCAACAGACAGCATATTTCCAAATTTCTCTAGTCGTCCCCACCCCACCCCACCCCCCTGCACTAGAACATGAGCTCTGCAAGGGCAGGGACGGGGGTCTGCTTCCTTCAGTGCCCACCCCCGGCGGCTGGGACAGCGCGTCAGGGACACAGAAGAGGGACAAAACCCATCTGCAGAACCGAGCGCAAGCAGGCGTGGAG